CTTCTTCCCTGAGTCTTTTTTGTAGTCGAGCCCAAGATATTGGCCCCTCCACAGACGTCGGTCCAACTCGTCGCTTATAAATACGACACCAGTCCTTGCATTCCCAATCACTCTCACAAGTCCGGTGCTGACGATCGTTTTGCACTCGGTGGAAAGGAGAAAACTAACAATGACAAGTTTCTGTATGTTCGTTCTTTGCTGCGGCTTCCTGTTCGCAGTCGACGCGATCGAATACACGAAGAAATACGACGGGGTGGATGTTGACAGAATTCTTCAGAATGGACGTGTCCTCGGTAACTACATCAAGTGCATGCTTGACGAGGGCTCCTGTACCGCCGAAGGCCGGGAACTTAAGAGTGAGTGATCTCCAGGCTTAATCGAGGACTTGTGTTTGGATGTAGCAACTTAATGAAAGCTCGACCTGCGATATGTAAAACGATATTTATCTATCGCATCTCGTGCTTCCTTTACTTTTATTCAATCTATTCTATTTCACTCCAAGTACATTCACTTATTTAAGCTGAGTTTTATCCGAAGATTATTGTAGCGATTTTTATTAAATAAATATATTTTTAGATGAATTTAATGTAATTTTTGTTTTAGTATATCTAAAAAAAACTTTTTGTATATTTTGAAATATTTATGCTCAATAGGTTTCTTCTTTATTTCATTCTAATTAAACATAAATTGCTTTCAAAATATTATTATTTTAGCATACCCATAACTATTATATAATTTAAATACTACCGTTTTTATATAACTTGAATACATTTTACTTTAGCATATCAAAATAAGATATATATAATAACGATTATATACAATGCTTTATTTAATATCAATTTGGATACCTTCACATTTCTATTTGTATTCATATTGTTTTCTAATTGTATTATAATTCCCTGTCAAACTATTTATACGTTACATTGAATATTATCTCTTTGCAATTATAGTAGTCATAATTACAAATTTTTTTATTGAAAAGCTACATTGATGAAAAATACTGGATATTGCATTTTTTTTTAAATATAAATATGAAGTACAAGTTTGCTTCGTAAAACTATTTAAATATACATCAATGTGTGTTAAAATTAATTTTTTTTAGAATTTAAAATCATCCTATTGGAACATAAAATTAAATTTATATTAATATTTTTCAGGTAGATCTTAATAATAATATTATTATTCTATGCTTAAATTAAAATTTGATGCTTCTTAATTGTTGAATAATTAATTTTTAAATAACTAGCACAATAATACTTTTAAATGTATTCTTTGATAACTGAAAATATTCGGATTAATTTCAAAGCAATATATTTTTTTAAACAAGTATAAATACTTTTTCAATTGATTCCTAAATTATTAAGCATACATTCAATATTGTTTAATTAAATATATATAATAGAAGAATAATTAAGCAAAATTTAAGAAATCTAATAAATTCATTACTTTTTTTATGTGTATAAAGCAGATCGAATATGTGAAGTAATCGACATAAACAATGTATTAAATTTATTTCGACTAATATTTTTTTATTAGATTAATTACTTAAATATAAATCAGAAATTTCATTAAATAACAAATTAAAAAGTTTTTTTTTTAAAAAGAAAGTGAATTTATAACGGTTATGTAAATCTAATAAATCGTATTTTTATATGAAAAATGTTACACAATTAAATATAAATTTAAATATTACGTGAAACTTTCATAATTGAGAAATTATCGTATAAAAATGCCATTTACCATATTTATATTTGAAATAATTGTTCTAAAATTACTTTGTTTTTTATGATTTTATAAAATAGTCAGCGTTGTTATTATTATTAATATACAATAATAATGAAATTCTAATGTAAATATAACTTTTTAAAACATACATTTTTTATAAAGTCACAAAACTATCAACATTTCATTAATAATCCATTTGTTTTAAATGTGTATAAATAAATAGTTGCTACATTATAATTACTTCATTTCTGTATCATGAGGTTTATCGACATATAAAAATATTTTAAATTAGAACAAAAACAAGAAGTATGTTAAGTATAATAAGCCACGCAACATAATTTGATTTAAATTAAGGTAAAAATTAAAAGTGAAATTAATAAATATTATTGAATTCAGTATAATAACTATATTTACATACTTTTTTTCCATCCATAAATACAGATATCTGAGGTATATTTAAAAAAAATACAATATATTAAAAATCTTAGTGATTACAGTTTTTCATCACTCTATATTTTTTCAAATAAACATTTTACTAATTATAAATAAAAAACTTAATAATTTCATGTAGTATATTTTTAGTATTCAAATCTGAAATAAAAATATGAATACTTTTAAAACAAATGATTTAGCGTTGTATACATGAAATTAAAAATGTAGATCTATATACGGTGCAGCCTTATATTTTTCTCTGGCACGAGTTCAATATACTTTCTTTTTCTTTTTCGAGAAGCCACGCCGTCAGCTATGTTTACGCAACCTATAATTTGAACTTTCACTTGTATTGTGAACGTTCAAGTTGTATTCATTATATGCAACCTATACCTACATTTTTATACAAATCTAAAGCGCTTGAATAAACCCGTTTAAGGCATCATTCGTATGCGTATCTTTAATATTTAATGATGTGAAATTTGCTGTCCTTGCATAGCGTTCCAATATTCAGAGTAAAAATATTTAAAATGAAAATATATATTTTATTATATCGCAATATTGTATGAAAATAATTAATGTATATATATATATATATATATATATATATATATATATTTTCGTACAATATTGCGCGTAATATTTCTCTATGTAGGTAGAACAAATTTCTTTTAAATAAATAGAGCCTTATATTTTTATTAAAAATGAATAAGAGTTTCTTTGAATTATGTGTTTAACTGTCTAAATAATAGAATAATATTATGGAATATAATAATGTAATTCATGAAACATATTTGTTTGCAGTATTATAAAAAATATGTTTTTCTAAATGTATACTTTTTAAAATTACTTATTAACTTTCAAGAAAAGAAAAAAAACTATACTGAATTTATTTAATAATACATCTAGAAATTATTTTATTTTACTGTTATTAAAAATTTTAGATTTCTTCCTTTTCATATTAGATTATAAGTCAATTATTTGCGGAACTATTTTATTTTAAAAATTGATTAATTAATTTTTAGTTTATATCTATATGGTATCTATACATAATTATTAAACTATAAAAATCTTTTTTATACAAAATTAAAAGTTTATATAAATAGCAATTTGCTATATTATAAATTTATTTATCATATTTAATTAGTCAAAATTATTCTTACGTAATTTTATTAATTTTAATATAAAATAATGTTTTAGAAACTCTTCCTGATGCATTAGCAACAGGCTGCACAAAATGTAATCAAAAACAAAAGGAAACTGCTGAAAAAGTCATCAATCACTTAATGACAAAAAGACCAGGAGATTGGGATAGATTAGTTAAAAAGTATGATCCAAAAGGTGAATTTAAGAGACGCTTCGATGGACAAGGAAAGAAGTTCTAATAATAAATTAATTAAACTTATGATTTATAAATGTATTTTTTTATACACAATTACATTTGTAATTAAATTTAAAAATGTATCATGTCTTCTGTCAGCTTAAGTATTATAGTCCTGTTTTATTAAGTTGAAAAATGTTATAGCTCATAAATTCTAAATGAACATTACTTATTTATTGAAATTTAAATTGTTTATTCTACACGTCGTTTTTTGACTAGAGATCCAAGCTGGAATAATAATAAGAGTTTCAAATTTCCAAATACACAATACAATAAAAACTGTTAAATTATTATTATTTCAAATAAATACATATTTCAATATATAAGTTAAATAAAAATAAATTAAAAATATTACATACGTTTCTCTTATTAATTTGTAACTTACAAGATCAGATATTGCTGGCAGATTGTTCGTCTGATCAGCAACAGTAGGCTCTTGTTCTCGAGCCTCTTTCGGTATAACCTTTTTCATATTTCTGTGCTGTGGAAAAGTTGGCATCAATTTTGGATCGCATGCTATAAAACAATTTATTAATTTATAATACTATTTACTTACAATACTCTTAAATATTGCTATTTAAATTATTACTTACGTAGTGGTGCTTCCTTAAAATAACTGCTTTGTAAGCATTCTTCTGCTGTAGCTCTTTTTTTAGGATCATACATAAAAAGAAAGTTAAGTAACCTAAGACCAGCTGCACTTAACCATGGAAATCTTTGTTTTAAGTTATTATAAGGCTGTTGTTTAAGTGTAAAATTCTGCAATGCTGGTAATGCATTAAACTCAGGCCATATTGCTTCACTGGGAGTTCCTAATAAATCAACTATTAATTCCAATTGTTGAATTTCTGATCGACCAGGTAATAGTGGTCTGTGTCCCAAAAGTTCTCCTAAAAAATATTTATAATTAACTACAAGAATTAAATACTTACTAAAATATAAACTTCCATGATCTAGATTAGAATATTATACAGAATAAAATTACTTTTAAACATAAGTTAAGTAAATTAATATATATAAAAACATATTGCATTAGAAAACATAATTTTATTTAACTAAAAAAAAAATTGTTAGTTATTTTATATAGATACAAGTAAATTTGCTTCAAAATTAAAAAAAAATCTTATTTTTGACCACAAAGTAATCAACAAATTCTTATAGTATAATAAAAATAAAAAACAATACAATTTCACCTAAAATGCAACCAGCTGCCCACATATCAACTGAAGTTGTTTGTGTTTTGGCCTGTAAAAGTAATTCTGGAGCTCTATACCACAATGTGACAACTCTTGGGGTCATAGGCTTCAAAGGTAGTCCAAACCATCTTGCTAAACCAAAATCTGCTATTTTTACACATCCCTTATCAGTCATAAGTAAATTTGATACTTTTAAATCTCTGTGTACTATAAAATTGTGATGTAAATATCTCAATCCCTTTAGAACTTGTAACATTATACATTTTACTTGACTTTCAGAAAAAGGAGCTTGCATATTATCAAGCAAACTGGCTAAATCTTGTTCACAATATTCCATAGCTAAAAAAATACTTTCTAAACTTCTTCCTACAACTACTTCTTTTAAGTGAACAATATTTTCATGCCTACAAGATAACAGAACACTTATTTCTCTCAAACCACTTACTGGAAGCCCATCTTTTTCATGCTCCATTCGAACTTTTTTCAATGCTACAACTTTATCACTTTTTGTATCTCTTGCTCGATACACTATACCATATGTGCCTTCACCAATGCGATTAAGTTTTTCAAATTCTGATACAAATCTGCATTTTCCAAGCTTAAAATATATTATAATGAAAATTAATATAGATAAAAATATTTACAAAATATAATGAATACATTATATACTTACAATATCTTGTTCTGGAATTTCCATCGGTTTTCCAGTTAAAAAAGATGTTAAAACTCCTTTTCTTGTAATTGGTGCTGTAGGGTCAGGACCAGCTTCAAGTGATCCTTTTTTTTCAGTATCATTGGCTTCTCCAGTTTTTTTTCTGGCATTTTCATCTGATAATATATAATTAGATATTTATATTTATATATTGAATATATATAACTATTGAATTCAATTATAAATTAAGAATGAAATACTAGACTATACATTTTTAATTTCTTTAACTTATTCTTCCTATTTCATAGAACATACCTTTTGTCATTTTCGTCAGGTGTTAATTGTCAATTTAAATAAAAAAAAAAATTTTTAAATATAGTAATAGTTACAACTAAAAAATATGTTTTTTTAACGTTTAATTAAGTGGCCGGCGTAATTGTTTTAATTTATATAACCTATAATACCATATCAAAGCTTTAAAATGTGAACACTTGCCTATGCGCACGCATAACCAATATTTCTCATATTTTATAAGAAGTTAGAATTCTGGAATATTGTTAATTAGAAGACAAATAGGAGTGCAAATAGAACTCTGAAAGATAAGCCAATAAAAAGTAAATTTTTCAAAATTATACATTTAATCTCAAAAATGCAATACTATTGGTTACGAATGCAGTTAGCATACTTTTTTCTATAAATAACAAAGAATAAAAATTCTTTTACATATTTATTCTTTAAAAATATTATAATTAGAAATCAATTTTTATTTTTTTCATTAATTTTGATTATTAATTTATCTATGGCAGAAAATTCAATACAGAATAGTATAATTAAAAAATTAAATTAAATTTAAAAAAATTTCGTTAATATTTAATAAATGATAAACTATACAATACAAAAAAATAAAATAATTACAATTAACATAAATTATTATAAATTTACTGAATCGTATCATTTAAATTAGTATTTCAATATTTTGGTGAATTCATAAACTTACGATTAAATAATAAACAAAATAATATTTACAAAATCACTATTATCACGTTTTTCCCTAGAATATGGGAACACTGAATCATATTTGGCGCGAAAAATACTTAGACAGATTTAGTTAAGTCTGAAAATAAGGTGTTTGAGGTGTGTATTATTTGTTAAGAGATATATTTGTTTGTAAAGAAAATTATTATAATTGTAATATAAATATTATAATGATAATATTTGGAATATATATTACTAGTAAAGGAATCGTACCTTTTAACAAAAAAATCAAATTTCAACAATTCATTTAGAAGAGATCCGAATAGCTGTTGCTATATCAAACAAAAATATTGACTTTAAAAAATGAGTGCTTTATGATAGTGGCATTTTAATGTGTAGAAATAATATTTACGTTTCCATTTTGATCATTGACAAAGAAAAAGAACATTATTTTGCTCTATTGATTTCACTAAAGTAAGTTTATTAGCATAGATATCAGAGATCAAACAGAGAAGATAAATAATTTAAATAGCAATTTGATCAATTTTTTATTGATAACAGATGTTTATAAAACAGTAATATTTTAAGAAAGGCAAAAAATTATAATTTAAATAGAATGTCTGAGGTAAAGAAGACTGTTTTGTGCAATTGTGATGAAAACAGTAATTCTAATTCAAATTATAACATAAAGGAAGATAAATTAGAAAATACTAAAGATAAGAATTTATTATCACCTATTTCAAATTCTTCATTATTAATTAAAACTAGTGAAATTCCAATTGATATGTCAAATACTAAAAATAATTATAGTTATCGAATTTCCAATATACAGAGTATAATTGAAGAACAAAGTGAAAATTTAAATAATGACAAAATTGAAAAAAATAATTTTTGTTTATCTTTAAAAAATTCTGATTTTGATTTAATAATTAAAAAGGATGAACATTTTGTTGAAAAATTATATGATGAAGAGAATTTACAATCTGTGTTACAACTTGAAGATAACAAGGATTTATATAAAAATCAAAATGATAATACTTTTAAAACAATTGAAAAAATGAATATAAATGTGATAGAAAACAATTGCGATCATTTTAATGCAAGTTCTATTTCAGAATCAACAAATAAGATAGTTTTATCTGTCAATGATAAAGTAAATGATATAAATAATTCATGTAATAATTTTAAATCATCGATCATAAGATCAGTTATACCCCAAAATAAAAATAAAAATTTATTTAAATGTAATCAAAGTGATAAAATAGATTTAACAGAAGATAATAGTTCTTGTTTATTCATAATGAATGCACCCCCTAACTATGTAAAGAAAAATAGTCAATTAATAACTAATACAACTCAAAGTCATGGCAAATCTTTAAATAAACACAGTTTATCTGAAAAGCATAGTGAAAACAAAACTAATTTTAAAAGAAGTTTAGGTATTAATTGTAATGTGACAACAAATAATGAATCACAATTAGGTACTGTTAGCTCAACTTCTATATCAACAATTGATAATATTCTTCTTATGATTGATAAATCGGATGACGAAAGTAATTCAAGAACTAGTTTTAAATTATCTGAAAATGACAGTGTACCTGAAAGTCATTGTGTAAAACAAGCAAATCTGTCCAACAATTATTTGAATATTTCTGATTATAAAGAAGAAATTATAGATAATCCAATATTGAAAATTAATACAAAATATGACGATAAAAACATATCATCTACAAGTAAATTTACAAAATCTGTAAAACAACTAAAAAGTAAAACTAAAAGAGGATTATTTGATAGTAATTACAATAACGATATAACTGCTACACTTAAAATTGATAAAAATTTGGAGTTTGATATTGAAAAAAATACAAATAGAATAGATGATTCTAAATTAGCCAATGTAAAATACTTTTATTATTTCATTTAAGTGTTATACTTTATATAAAATTAAATTAATAATTTTTTCAGAAATTTTACAAAATTAATAGTCTAGTGAATTCAGATACTGAAAGTGACAATAATTACTCAAAATCTGGATCATATAATTCTTTAGATGAAGAAAATTATACACAAAGTCCTAAAAAAGGAAAAATAAAATCAGAAAAAAGAATGGTAAAATTAAAGTTAATATTTTATGTAATAAATATTTTGAATAATAAAATACTATTTTATAAATATTTCATAGGAATCTGTTAGAGTATCCAAAGAATTAGCAATGCAAAAAATTCATAGTGAAACACAGAGATTAATGAGAGAATCAGAAGTATCTCTTCCATATCACAGACCTAAACAACGTAGTTTGCAGGAATTCTTAAGTAGAAAAAAAATGATGTCTGAAATCCCTACAAATTTGACATGTGCTGAGAAAGTTAAAATGTTTCCTGAAATTATTAGGTAATTTATTGAAAATTTTCTTATATGCCTTCATAGTTTAAATTAATTTTAATTTTCATCATAGTAAGGTTGTAGAAGAAAAAGAAAAAGAAGCTGAAATTTTTTATAAATCATCCGATTCTGAAGAAGATGAAAAGTGTATTGAATTAAAAGAATTCAACCAAGTGAATGTTTTAAATGATGTGAAAAATAAAAGTGAAATAAAAAATAAAGATAAATCGGATAACAAAATTTCTATTGCTAATACACAGAAGTTGACACAATATGGCATTCAAGAATCTCATATTAAAGGAGAAATTGTAGTACAACAATCATTACATTTTGGGGCTTCAAAAAAAATATTTATGGATGACATGAAGAATACAAAAGAATCCAAAAGCATTCAAGATAATTTAAAATATTTGAGTGAAAACGAAAATTTAATTTCAAATACTTTGGCAATTTTAAAAAAGAAATGTAAAAAAATTAATAAAGAACCAAAAAAATATATTATTTCAGGGGAATTTTTTACAAATAATTCTGAGAACATGGATATTAGTATTGATAGTAATCAATGTATATTAGAAGAAAATGTAATAGACAATCAAAAGCCTATAAAAAATGATGAAAAAAAAAATCCTTTGAAAAAAGTTATCATTGAAAATAACTCAGAAGAAATTGTATTAAATATATCAGAAACTGAAATAGAAAATAATGGAAATGAAAAGGTGATAGAATTGAGTACAGTCAATGACTTATCTTTTCAAAGTAAAAATCAAGAAACAATTTTAGAAACCTCAATTATAAATAACAAAACAAATACAATATCAAGAATTTCAGTAAATGTAAAAGGTGTTGAACAAGAGACTGTAAATTTCAATCAGTCTAAACAAATAAGTGAAACAAACTTAAAATCAAATGAACAAAAAAATTGTAATATTGAAATTGTAGATCATGATGATACAGATTTTAGTCCTGGTTTTAAAGTAAATGAGTCTTCAAAAAAATCGAATATGAAAGAAAAAATATTAGCTAATATTTTAAAACTAAAGCCTATAATAAAAGGATCACCAGGTTCAATAATTGATTTTACAGGATCAAAACACATGAATGAAGGTGTAGCACAATTGTTGAATAGATTTGCACAGCACTCTATCATCGTTAAACCTAAAATTGAAGGAGTAACCAAAGTGAAAATAATGAACACAGAAAGGGAAGATAATAATACAAAAATAAAGGAAGAAACATTACTTTTTAAGAAGACTGTAGTTAAAAATGAAGATGACAAAGAACACAAGCCTGGTGAAAAGTTAAAGAAGTTAAGAGAGGACTTAAAACGTAGAATAGCTTATGTAAGACATGAAGAATGGAAAAAGAAAGAGGAAGATGAGAAAGAAGATGAAGAACTAAAAGATGAAAGTGATAGTTATTATGCAGGTCTACCAGATGAAGAAGAATTATTAGAAGATGATGAAAGTAGTGAAAGTGAACCAGAGGAAAACGACGTTCTTATTATTGATAACCAAAAGTCAATATGTGAGTTTGCTGATGAAGAGGCTGAAGAATCTGATCATGAATATATTGGCAACTCTGAAAATGAAAAAGATAATGAAAAAGAACAAGAAGAAGAAGTAGAAGTAGATGATCATGATAAGGAACTTAAAGAGAATGAAGATGATGAGAGCCTAGAATCTGAAGATGAGAAATTTGTATGTAACAAAATTATTATTAAGTAAATTCAAAATATTTCTATTTTAATTAATTATTTAAGTTTCAATAATGCAATTCTAATAACATACTTTCAATATAATTTGTTTCTGTAATTTTCTACTGTGTTAATGTTTTAATCGTCAATAAGTATATGTAAATAACAACTCTTTAAAACAAATTTATATAACAAGGGATATAAATTATAAAACTATTATATTATTATTTTACTTATAAAAATTTTTAATTAGAAATTCCAACATAGAAATAATGTTTTTATAAAATATATATTAGTTTTAACATGATTGACAACTCAAATCTTAGAAAATAATAAATATTAACTAAAATATATATTAATTATATTTAATATCAATATTGCTTTTTTTAGAAAATCACAAATTGAATAGATAGATATAAGCTGTTGCTAATATTATGTTAAATCATTTCTAGTTTTGAACAGTTATTCAATAATATTACAATTTTAAATTTGCCAAGTTCACAAAATACATGTTTTTTTTAACAATTATATTATATCATAGGCTAATTTTTTTTAGGCAAATAAACCAACAAAATTAAAAAGAATCATGAAGTCGTTTGAAGACGATTCGAACCAATTGGAATCAAGCCTCAGTAACGACGCAAACTCAAGATTGTCGTTCGACCGTACTAGGACAGATGAGGATATGTTTGCCTCACAAACGAGTAACAGTTACGCAAGTGAGGATATTGACGGAATCCCACCATTTCAACCACGCGATAGATGTAGCTCAGACTCACGAAGCCAAGCCTGCAAAACACCCTTACCGAAACCTAATAATATTCTGAGTATGATATCTCCCGTGGCTCAGCTCACAGTTCTCAACGCCTCCCTTGATTCGGCCAAGAAATCGGCTTCTAAAACGGACAGTATAAACTTCGGACAGGTGGATAAATCGTGCTTAGTTATAAATACGTCCGCGATGAACAGGTGAATAAAATTATATCACAATTAATTAAATCAATAAAAAAGTCTAATCAGAATTGTACTTTGCATTTTTTGGCTACATTAAAAATATATGTATCTAAGGAGTTTATTAAAATGAGTCCTTTTATGTATCTTTAACAATCCAAATTTGTATTTTGTTGTATTAACATATCAAAAGTGACATTTCTAGATTTTTAATTGATTCAACGATTATAATTATCTCACAAAATAAATATTAATATAATTTAGTTAAAATAAAAAATTATCTTAAACTTATTTTCAAGTTAAAAACGTTATGAAAGTTCTGATATTCATTTCTACATTAATTTTAAATATATATATATATCATTAATAGTTTATAATTATCAATAATTAATATTTAAATATAAAAATTTAGTCTGTTTGAGAGTTCTGGATTCTTATAAATAATAAAAAATATTCAAAATTAATATTTTTTTTACTTATACATACGTATTAGGGCATACATGTTCATTTGTAAAATTAAATATAAATTTTTTTTGGGAAAATTAAACGTAAAATAATGATGTTATAATTGTAGTAATGGCACAGAATCTTTTTTGTTTACTTATCATATTGTATTAAATATAAATTAAATATAAATTTAAATAATTAAAAAAAAACTGTAATATATACCATTGAATTAATTTGGTGACATTGCAACGGCATACTGCAAAATAACAGCAATCTAGAAAAGATGATTGGTCTTCCAAAAAAATTATTCGATGATCCTCCAGAAACGGTGAATGATGATGAACTTGTAGATATCTGTTCGGGAAAATTTATTGAAACGCAGAATTCAGAACGAGTCATAAATGAGCGTAATGGAGTCACTGATACGCAACTAATGGAGTTGTGTTCCGGTGCTTTTATTAGTCAACCTGTTGATTTGAAGAAATTAGAATTTAAATATGCAAATTCGAATATACATACAGATGATACGTCGCAAGATATTACACTTACCTTCGACGACGAAGATAATGACAATTTTATGGATAGTTCTATGAATATGTCATCATCAATGAAAAGGAGTGACGAATCTATGTTCAGCAATGACTCTAAAAGTCCTGTCAAGGCTTGTACTTATAGCAGTAAGACCTCTAAGAGCCCAATGGAAACTTGGTTGAAAAGAGCTAACGAAAATATGGCAACCATCTATACCCAACAACAGAAACAAAATGAAGTTACGGATTCACAATTAAGAGATGTATGTTCCGGTGTTTTTATGTCACAACCAATAGATATGAAAGAACTGGAACAAAATGATACACTGCAGATCCAAAGCAGAATCTTGCAGGATTTTAAACTAACCCTAAGTGATAAATCTAAGAGCTTGAACAAAGAGGTACGCTTTAATTATATAATTACAAAATAATTTTCTTTAATTACTTATAATATATTTGAAAGTAATAATTTTATTATTGCATGTATTTTTACAAAAGGATATTTTAAAAATTAAGTTTGTTAGTACTTAACAGTAATTAAGATAATAAAAATAACTTGCTGTTTTTATTGCATTAAATATTACTAATTAATTCTTCAACCATTGACATAAAAAATATAAATAAATATTTACATTTTTCCACTTTTATAATTCATATAATAAAGTTATATTTAATGTAGTAATATCTAGTATAATTATGAATAAAGTATTATATATTATAATTACATAAATACATTTATTTAAGAGCAACGAAACTAATATGAACAAAAAAAAACTCGAATCTCTTCTACAACAAATAATTGCAAACGAAAAGGAAGAGACAGCTCCATGGTCAGCGTATATGATCGTGTCCTCAGACGATGACAATTTAAAAAAATATAAAGAATGCTGTATGAAAACTAAAAAAAAGGCACTCAAAAAGAGAAAGAAAGTCCAAAAGTTAATATTGTCAGACGATGAGGAGAATAAATCGAATGAATTTTCGGAAGATGAGGAAGATCAAACCATTGACGAAGAAGACCAAAAATATATCGAATATGATTCCGATGAAAATGAAATTGTAGTAGTAAATAAAAAAGAAATAAAAAAAGTGGCAGCAAACTTTCTTGAGAAAGAAGCTGAATTAAGCGAGAGCGACTGGGATTCAGCTGATGAAGATGAGCAAGACATGGACAAATTTGAATATGAGGAGGGTGATATGGAAAAAATTGATGAAAATAAAATGAAAAAATTATTGGATAAGATTCACATAAAACAGATAATGGATAGGGATCAAAGAGAGGTGAAGATACTACAAGAATTTCTTTTTGATGATGGAGATTTACACAATGATGGAATTAGTCGTGAGAGAAGATTCAAATGGAAAAATATAGGTAAATATTACTATATACTTTATTTAAAATCTTATTTTTTACAAAGTACTTTGATATATGTAATTTAGAAATATAACAAAATCATAATGTTAAAATGTGTGTTCGCTTTTATTCAAATAAAATTTATTTGGTTTAAAAATAGCTGCCAAATACTAAAATATTGAAGTATTGAGCATTTAAAATTCAATTATATTATAGTCACTGAATAAATAGCATAATTATGCATTACATACAGCATTTATAATATTTATTTTAACAAATTATCATTAAATTCATAATTGAAAATTTTATATACTAAATATTCATAGAATACTTTATAAAGTTTTTCTTTTAATTATATAACATAATTAATATATTTTGAATTTATTTTTAGATAATTTCGATGACAATTTAATACCTACAGTAAATGATGATGATGAAATAGATGATAATGTTGATGCTGCAGTGGAAGCTCAAATGAGAAAAATAAGATATGAACAACAAAAATTTCTTGAAGAAAAAGAGGTACATTTAATAAATAAAGTATTAAACTTTTATTTTCTTTTAATCAATAATAAATTATATCATTTACATAGAAAAATATAAATCAGAATGCAGAAAAAGATTTTGAAGAAAGTCACTCGTGTAAATTAGGTCTTAAAGTCATAAGTGTACGATCATCAAGAAAATCATCATTAAAAAATCATGGAGTAAAAGGCATTAATTTAAATACTAATAAAAACTTTTTATTACATGGTGTTTCGAATTTATCATCAAAAATATCCACAAAATTTAAAAATTCGGCAGTTGTAAGTTAATTTTATTTAAAAATACTTAAATTATATCATAAATTTTTTTAAATAATACATTTATTTAAAATTATTACTTTTCAGTCTAATATAAGAGGTTCGTTTTTATCCAGAGGAGAAGAAACATTGGTTCGAATAGCACAAAACTTACCAGAAACAAACAAAAAAATAATAAACCCCCTACGGAACAGAAAATTTGTTTTCGAGCACGTAAGTCCATCTGTATCTAATGTATTACAAGAAGATTTAGAACAAAAAAATGACACTACTTTAATTAAAGAGAAAAAAAAGGTAAATTTCACTGTTTTCAAAATATTCATTATAATAAATACAAAATAAAAAAAACTATATATTATATCGTTTTCAGATTCGCAAAAGAAAAATGTTTTCAAGTCAGACACCAAAAACTACAAAGAAATTAAAAGTTGATGATCGAACATCTTGTAAACAATTATTTTAAATAACTTATATAAACATTATTTTAGAAATGTTTTTAGGTAGTGTAGATTAGTATATTTTATAAGTATCAAAAAGATTGTTTATATATACTTAAAATATTTGTATTAAAATTTTTCAAAATGTATATTATACTTTAATTGTACAGTATATATTTTCTAGAATATATTTTTTTTAATAATTTTACTATTATTCATAGTTTTACATCTTTTTAAACTACAAATTTGTTTATATTATTTCAAATTCCTGACTAATGTGACAATACTCACATGTTAAAATTAATATTTACTTTAAAAAGATATCTAAGAAAGTGCACACTAGTAAAAATCTGTACAATAATTTATTTATTTTAGGTAATTTTATAAGAAATCATGGAATATTTTATAAAATTTAATAAATCTCCAATATTATTTTAGTTATTGTGAAAATCATAGTTATAATTGTACAGATATTATGTTATTAAGTTACATCAAATTACTTTATATGTTTTTAAAGATAAACAAAATTTAAATAAATTTCATTTTCATATTTTTTAATTATATTATACGAATATGAAACATTTTATAATACAGTATTTTATTCGTTTAAATTTTTTAGATGAAACTCTAGTCGAAATATTTTTAACTATAAATATTGCCATTGTTTTATAATATTTTTCTTTATTAGATTATACTTTTTAAATTAATTATTTTGTTATTAATTAACATATGTTTATAAATTTATAATGTATAAGTCTACAAATGCAACATTATGGTTAATGGAATAAAAAAAAAAAAAAAAAACTGATTAAAGACAGTATTGAAGTTGTTCGTAATTTTATAAAAGGAAGTACGATTTGCTTAGAGACAATAGATCCCACACAGAGGAAAAAAATATTTATTCACTTGCTAGTCATTCATTACGTTCTGTAGAGAGTTGTTTTTATAATTTATATATTTCATATATATATATTATTTAATATTTTAATTTATCTATTATTTTAAGATAAAAAGCTATTTTACATTGGCTAGTGTAAAAAAAAAAGAAAAAAATTAATCTTACAATTACTTTTCAGAAAGATTAAAATCATATTCATTTATGATTATTCATGTAAAATAATTTTAATTAATTATAATTATTTAAAAATATTTTATTTATAAAAAGAAGTAAATAAATATATTTTGATATATTTTTTATGAATTTAAAAAAAATTATTGATATAATTAAGTAAAAAATAATAACTCATCAAATAATTTTACAGATTTCTTAAAAAACTTGATAGAGATTCAATAAATAATATTTTTATCTAAAACAGTATTCCGAAAATTCACTTCATTCAAGTTTAACTCTAGGGATCAAAGAACTTATGAAATACTGTCATGCATTTAATATTATTGCCCTATTGCGTCATAAACTTACCTTTAATAATGTTTCTTATTAGTTACTCTTATTAGTGCTTGATGAGGATAAAATTAAAGATCTTCATTTGAAAATCTTTCAAATAAACGAAGGTTGTGTATAATATTATACTTAAAGAAATTTTTAACAATATACATAGTTTTCAGTGATTCAATTTTGTATTATATATAATTAGGAAACAATTTACGTTTATTAATGTACATTCATTATTTAAATCAAAATATTTAAATTAAATTATAAGACAATTTTTCAAAATATTAGAAATGAATTTTTAATAAAGATTATATTATACATGCGTATATCAGATTTATTATATAATATATATATATATATATAAATTCATGCATAACATTGGTATTAAAAACAATGAAATTAAAACTAACTGTTTGTGACGTTGCTGTGTATAACTACGAGCTCGATGTTTACGGTAATTCTATCCAATAATGCACACCCAGGCCTTCGGCAAGAATCTCTCGCTCTCTCTATTTCTCTTTATATAAGCTTCCACTCATATACACTTGATAAACAAATTCAGAAAGCAAGACAAAGTTTACAATATCGGACTTGCATATTATATGAAATATATAAAACACATGAAAATATGCTCATTTTCATTATTCCAATGCGCTTCTAATAAATTTTTAATTTCAAAATATTTTAAATGGTTTAAATTAAACTGTAGTTAATGTTTATATTTATAAACTCTTAGCTACTAAATATTTTTATATTTTTCTTTTTTATTAATCATCAATTCACTAAATTAAAATATATATAATATACCAGCTAATTAACAATATCTAAAAACATTTGTTTTTTTATCACGCAGTAATTATAATAGTTTATTGTAACTATTGAATATTTCGACCTAGTAGTTGTTTATAATCTCAAAAATAGTTTAATGCACATAAGATATTGCATAAATAAACATAATGGACAAAAATTTGTATTAAGGTTGAAAATGTCCTTATAATCATATATATATGTTAGTACTAAAAAATAAATATCTTGTGTAAAATACTATATGCTAAAGGATTATTTTATTTATATGAAAAAACTTTGCATAATAAAATAATGATCTAAATTAAACAAATTAATCAAAAGTAATTTACAATATTTTACTTAATTTTTGTTTTTGTTTTATAATATTACAATACTTTACATGATTTTGTTATTATTTTAGCTTATTAAACTTTGTGATATGAAAAATATATAAATTAAACAAAATTTTAATCTAATTTTAATAATTATATATGTAACAGAAATATAAATATAGAAAATCAGATCTAGATTTTATATTGATCTGATATTTTCGATCATCTAGTGTAAAGTCTTATTAATTTAACTTTTGAATTATCAATAGTATACTTACAATTAATATTAAAATTCTACTGTGATAGACTGGTATTTAAATTTTATAATAATAATTTTTAAATAAATGTAAAAGTAGATTAAAACTTTATAATCTTCACATAATATATTAATTTTGTAAAATTTTTAACAACTTTAAATTTAATATTTTATCTGGATGAATATTTTATATATTATACAATCTTATTACACAAAAATTACAATAACAGTATTTTTTTCATTATTTTTTTAATTCTTGTAATATTGATATTTTAAAAAAATGTATCGTAGAATACTAATGCATTTTTAAAAGTGCAATTAAATGTTGTTAAAAATATTATTAGATAAAATGAATTATATTTTTAATTTTTTTTTGACGAGTGTAATGTATATTTTGAAACATGTGAATGTATACCATTGCTTTTATGAGAAAATGTACAAATGGAGAAATTTCAAACTTTTCTTATAATATTTTACATTTTATAAGAAAATATTATTTTCAATTGAAAAATATTTGATTTCTTTTGATAATTTGCTTCTGAATATCTTATTTTTCCCTTTAACAAAAATTGAACAAAACCAAGTTTATATATATATATGACTGTTGAAGTTGCTTTTAAAATTTGTTCTTCTTATCTACTTTTTATTTACTTACCATTTGAATACTAGATATGTTTGAACAACTTAGGCGTAGATTTTAATAATAGACTTGGCAAAATTAGATGTTTCAATAAATATCACAATATCAGTTTCGTACGTTTATCTTTATCCCACTACACATTTTCATATATTTTTAATATTCGATATAGTGTGCTATTTGTGCATTAAGATTTTCATTTCGGAGAATATTTCTATACTTTGACAGATAATTATAACAAATAAATTTAGATTCTATTTATAACAATTGCTTTTTAGTTATTTTTTTATATAGTCACTTATATATTTGAAATGGGAAATTAATGTTATATTAATTAACATATGCAAATTGTTGCTTATTTTATTGTCAGTTTTTATTATATTATATGTTTACAGAACAATTATATTTTTTTACAAGGATTGAATACAAAATAATAATAAATTTTAGAATAAAATGAATACATAATAATGAATGAAAAAATAAATAGTTTGTCTTCTTTTAGTAAAATACTTCAAAAGAGGAAGAACTAAGTTTCGTTAATTATATGAATTAAATATATAAATTAATTATATATTAATGAAACCAAGAATTATTTCGTATTCGATCTTACATCATATGAAGAATATAATTTTACCATTACCAATAACGGTAACTTAAACTGCTTTTGTTGCGCTTCTATTATACATCTAAAGTATAAGTATTTTTATAAAGGGAAGTGAGGTGATAGCAAGGTAGGTATGAGAAAAAAGAAAGAAGGACGAAGTAGAAAGTTAAACGAGAGAGAATTCCAAATTGATGCAAGATCGCAAAGTAACGCTTCTATATATAATGATGAAAGAGCGCTTGTAGTCGGGAAAGCTGGAGCAGCGGAAAGGCACCAGTAGCGGTTCGGAATGCTGCTAAGGACTTAACCAACGACAGATAGTACAGGGATGATGGAAGGTACGCGATGGTGGTTTGCCATGCGTAAGCCGATTAGAGCTTCATGGCAATAGACTGAAGCCAAGGGTGGGATGAGAGGAGTGTTCGATAGAGTTTCGCGTCGACAACAGAGCTAGAGAGACACATTAAAATCGCTTGAAATATGCAAGAGACTGTGTTGGCGCGCGCGTTTGCCCAGATTCAGATAAAAAGCTGCTCTCAATAATACTTTGGCGATGTATATGGATGGAGTAGTTACGCGCGCGCACGAGTATATGTGTCGGAAAGGATGAGTGCATATGCGCTCGTCCAAGTCACCAGAGCGACATCCCTCACCGATTCACCCTGGTGCATGCTTCGTCCACCTCCCTTTTTCCATCAATGTTACATCTCTGAATAATTTTGGATTTTCTTGTTCATATTGTTCTATATGTCAACGGTTGCTAGCATGATTGTACGGCGCAGTGAGAAGCTGACATCACAGCTCTGAAATATTTTATGAATTTTATAGATAGTCCTGGAATTTTTGTGCTGCTACACTTTTAGCTTTCACCGAGATTGCCTGAATCTTTTATAATTGCCATGAATAGTTATTTCCAAACGCAAAATCACCGTCGATTTTCTTATTTTTATTAGTTCTACATCAATCACGTTTTTAAATTTCATTAATTTTTAAATTGTATGTTCATTTTATTAAAGCT